CAAGCTATACAGAATGTAAAGATTGTGTCATCTGGACACCGAATCAATTGAGTTTCAATATTGAAAACTTTCATCAAAAACAAATTCTTCGTGCTACTCGTATTAAAGAAGGAAGTGTTACTCTGTTACCAATTTTTAATGGCGGTGGATACGATAAAGCTATAATAGGAGCATATCAAATCTACATTGGTTAATATTATTCTTGGAATTTATTGCAAGGATAAACGAGAGAAATTCCAATAAAATGTTTTTACTTTATTTCTTTTTTTGTATTCCATGAAGAATCAATAAACAATCATATTCAACTTATGATTTTAATAAGTCTTTTGAGAATAATTCATTCTCACAATAAAAAAAATATTTGTTACTTCAAGTCGTATTTGTTTTTAGAGTTAATTCTTGAAAATTCATCATAAATATCCATAAGAAAACTTCTTATTCTTTCCCTCGACAATGTTTGATTATCATTCAATTTGATGCGATGTATAATCAGTAAATAAAAATATCGTGTAGAATGTGATGCTATAATAGACCTTCTCAAAGAAATACACATTTTCAAACAAGAGGGTGTGGGTGTATGGGGTGCTTGTAGGTGAATGGTTTCTTGTTAGCCACACCCACACCCACACCCACACCCTACACCCACCCACACCCACACCCTAACCCTGCATACGGTATAAACCGTACCTACTGGTAAGAAGCTCATTGAAAAGTCAGTTCGAAATGATTTATAAAATGGCAAAGTTAGAAGAAAAATGAATTGTACGTATTTCGCATAATAATCCATGTTATCTATAATGAAAAATGGAAAAGATTTCGACGCAATCTTGAGGGTATGGGTGTGAATAAGAGGAACAATAATATTCACACTCACACCCACACCCACGCCCCCCCCCTCCAATACATGCTACGATCGGTTGTCTCTGATTATTTGAAAAATCCAATTTTGGTCATTTTTTGCGATTTGTGTTAATGGGAAAACTTTATGATATTAGTTCTAAATAGCAAACATCTATATACAAAAAACATGACCAAATTTAAGCGAAATATTATTAACATAAAATACATTCGCAATTCGCTAGTATAATTTGAAAAATAGTGTTTATGATGGATAAAAAATTCATGCGAAGTGGATGTGTCACCAAGTTACATTATATTCAAACAAAAGTGGATAAAAATGTTGCTGTTTTTCTCAATGAAATGATCTTTTTGGTTAAGTATTATGAAAAGCGCATTATAGATTTCATAATTGGCACTAATTCATTAATATCTTTTGGTGATAATGTTCGCATTATATCATTTTCGATTTCTTCATGAACTGTTTGCCATGAGATGACATGAACAATGAGTTCACTAAATAACTTGATTGCTTTTTCATAGCCATGCCTTGTTTCCATGTATTTCCACAATAGTTCTGTGTAATAATTTTGTGCGCGATATGCAGACATTTTATCATTGAGTATTGGTTCATCATGATTACTAGTTATTGAAAAACCTTTTGTAAGAATAAGTATAATAACTGTTAATTCAATGATTTTTCGATCATATTTGATTATATGTAAAAATGAAGCAAAGATCTTTTTTATTTGCGTACGAGTATTATAATCATGAAGTATTGGAAAGAATTGTGTATTCAATGGTACATCAGAATCACTTTCAATGAGTTGATTAGTTTCTATATTATATGAAAGTGCATAGTTTATACCAAGAATCTTCGGAAGATTATATTTAATTAACGTAACTTTATCATCAACATTTAATTGATTAAATTCAGGTATTTGTTTGAGGAATGATAAAAGTCGCATGGCGGATACTGAATAACTATTGATAACTTGTAAAAAAGTCCTTGCATGCATTGATGGATTCCATGGAAGACCATTACGAGCCGCTAAGATACAAACATAGTAAGATGAAAAGGAAAAAGATCAACAAAAATAGTCGCTCACCAAACTCGATACGGTTTTGATAAAAAAGTGATATAGTTTCTATACGTTGTAAATCTTCCCAACTGAGTAATATCTGCTGTGGTTGAGAGGATAAAAGATTGGTAAAATCTGTGAGAAGAATATTTGTGTCTATCGATGTTAGTAACTGAGAATAATATAAGAGTAAATAAATGAAATCATGTTTTTTTTTATAAAATATCCTTACATTGTCTGAAGATGTGGATGATGACAATTGAAATTGTTCATTATTTGTTTTAGAATTTGAGTTCAATGTTAAATTTCTATTTTCTTCTAGTCGACCACGTTTTGCCGCTTTTTGTTCATTCTAGAAATTAGTTTTATGGAAGATTCTTCTTTTGTTTTATTGCAGTGTGGGAGTTAAAACTATTTTTCAAAAAGTTGATCAGTTATAACTCAAAAGTTATAACTTGAGTTATAACTACCCTAGTTTTAACTCCCAGTGTTTTATTGATACCGTCAAAAGTCGATCACATCGCATTCCACTATTAAAACACTTGGCTAAACGACAAGCCAAACAATTACGACGTGGTTCAAATGTTATTTTACAATCACCTTTGTTATTACACGAGAAAGTAGCCTAGATAGAAAAAGCATTATCATCTCAATGATCATTATAAACATAGAAAACAGATGAATTGTACGTCATCTGTACTGTTATGATTTGAAGTATAAAATGAAAAGCAACAGATAGATTCTCTCTTCATGTTCCTATCAAGAATGAAAACAAAATCAGTTTGTGGACAACATTCTCGTCGGATACTCTTCAAGTATCTCCCATTTGAGAACTATTTCGAGTCTATTGATTTTTATTCTTCTATATGTAGGTTTTTTTTAACCGAACTTGTAAAACATAATTCGACTGGTTTTTGAGCATCGAATCGAAAAAAGTTTTTATATTTCTGAGAATAAAAAACATCTGTGGAAATTTCAAATCTTAATTAATTCTTAATGTTCATTTTGTATTTCTGGTAAGTCATAAATTCGAAGAGATTGACAACTCTAAAAAAAAATGTGTACATGTACATATCAATTATTTCGTTGGAATATTCAAGTCCAAATTGTATTTCTATTATTATCAAATAATCAATGAATTTATGCTAACATTAATTTTTGTTTTTTGTTGACAAAAAGCATATTCACTTCGATCCATTGAATTTGCGTCAAATCTATGAGAGATAATGGAAATTTCATTGAGGTTTACGACGAAGAAGAAATAGATTTAATTCGAACAATTTCTTTTTAATCTAAACAGCACAAATATGACGTAATTTTTTTCGGAACTTACAGGATCTTTTCGAGCATTACGACGAAAGAAAGCCTTACAACTTTCACATGTAATTGCACCAAAATTGTATCCATTTGCTGATGATCCACAAACAACACAAGTCAAAGAACCATGCTTCGGTTTATTCTTCTTATGTGATAATTGTATCTTGTCCTGAAAACAATAAATTCTTTTTTCTCTACCAGAATAATCTAACACTAACCTGTTTATCAGATCTATCACTATTGTTACCTTCGGACGGAAGAATAATTTGTTTTAATAATGATACATTGTTGCTTTTTTCAATTTGATCAATGATACTTTCATCGGCCATAATAATCATTATCCGTTCTCGTTTTGCACCTATTCTTAGCGATACGTTGGATGACATGATTCAGAAAATTTATTTTGTTTTTTCTAAAACGATATAACTTCCAATAAATTAAGATTTTCTTAAGATAGAAAAATCTTCTTAATTAAACAGAATCTGACAGAAAGCACAAAACCTAAAAAATATAAGAAATAATATGCTTAATGCGACATTGAATTTTATATAATATAAAAGCTGAATAGGACATATTTAAAACGCTTCATTTCAAATGATCAACATAAAGATGAATTCGGTCACTTAAAAATATAGAAAACGTGATAAAACTATACTGCAGTTCAACATAAGCGCACAGGTATCATTCTGTCTGTTATAACTCACAAAAGGCAATGGATGAGGTACAGTTTCAATTGTGAACCTTCTTTTCCACGAGAACTATGAGAAAAATATCAGATAAAGTGTGTCATATATTCAGATGTTGTTGTTCGTCATTTCATTGACAAATCCACAATTCCAATAGAATTGAAGCGCTTGTAGTAATAAAAATAAATACCATAAAAGTGAATCTGAAACCAAGAAAAATAATAATGAAAAGTAGACAAGAATATTGGTAAAAAAAGAATTGTTTTTTGAATCTCAACAGTAGTTATTGTGCACATCTAGATGATTTTTTTTTATAGAAAATAACTCATTTTTTAACATTTTCTCTAATCATCTCTTATCATTATTTCTAGTTTTTGAAATCATTTTTTGTTTGTACAAGTTTTGAAGGATTGTTTCAAGAATTTTTCTTCAACTGAGTCATCTCATAACGTTACATCGATTTTTTTATTAATAAGGACGTTTGACACGCACAATCAATGATTCATTTACTTGGACTAGTTTTTATTTTATTATTGATAATAAATACAAAAAAAGCTAAAAGAAAAAAAAACTGCGTACTTACATTCTATCGAGTAGCCAGAACGCAAAATGTGATGAGGAGAAATGCGCATGAATAGAGAGGATACGTAAAAAGTACGACTGCTTGCAAAATAAATACATCGGTTGCAACCAAATGATGACCCAAACGCCTGGTTTTTTTTTCTTTCTTCCTTTTCTCTGTTTTTTTCTCTTTTGTAAAACACGATTTAAAAGTAGTGTTGAAATGTAGAGGGGTAGAAATTTGCATTCATTACTCTTCACACCCTGATCCCCCACAGTGAACAGAAAAGGGGAGTCAGTAGTAATTTCTCCGATTCTTGCAGCTATGCTTCACATTTAGTACTGATTATCTGCGCTTACATGGGCTCCCTTACTCGTGAGATTTCAAAGAAAAAAAGTTTCGACTGTCAAAAACTGCTAAATAGAACAAGAGAAAATAATTGTTTCCTTATAATATTTTTAAACACCAAATATTTGTTAGACAAGTTGGATAGTTATACTAACGATGAAGTATAGAGATATGACGTGAGCTACTTGTTCTTTAAGAAGTTAGGTTAGATTATCATACAGGGTGGCGCAAAAGTCAGCTTACCCAAAAAAAATTGAATATCTCTATTACGGTTCGAACAAACGAGCTGATTTTTTTATCAGTGATAGAGGCATGTACCAAGTTTATATCCATAAAGACATGCCTAGAGAAACTCTTTGTTAAGTATATTGTTTTTTCTCCTATCTGTCAAAAAGTAAAACTTCTTTTGTTGAGATCAATAGTGATACTTAACAAAGGGTTTCTCTAGGCGTGTCCTTATGGATATGAAGCTTGAACATGCCTCTATCGTTGATAAAAGAATCAGCTCGTTAACTCGAGCTGTAGCGGATATATTCAATTTTTTCGGCAAAGTGAACTTCTTTCTAACTGTGAAAAAGTAAATTTTTCTTGTTGAGGTCAATAGTGATACTTAACAAAGGATCTCCCTAGACATGTCTTTATGAATATAAACTTGGTACATGCCTCTATCACTGATAAAAAAATCCGCTCGTTTACTCGAACCATAATGGAGATATTCAATTTTTTTTGGATAAACTGATTTTTGCGCCACCCTGTAAACAGATTGGTTGAAAAGTTTGGAGTTCTGAATAAAAATTAATGATTGAGTTCGAAATCGTATTTCATCTTCGTGTTTTGGTTAGGGTGTGGGTGGGTGTGTTGATTAGAAGATCCATATCCACACTCACACCCCACACCCACACTCAGACTCACACTCACCCTCACCCCATACCCATACCCTCAGTTTTTTTGCACTTGTTGACCTCCAAAAAAAGCAACCTGCGGACAAATACTTTACAATTCACTCTCAATCTTGAGACAGAGAGAGAGAGAAAATTTTTTTGTTATGGTGCTGGAGTATTCGTTGTCTTAAAGTGTCCTTCTAGCCAATCGGCTTCCGCTCCAAGCCTACGTCATGAGTGCAAAAATCGCCTATTTTTACTTTTCTTCCCCTATCCGATCAGTGGGTAGGGTGTGGGTGTGGGTGGGTGTGGGTGTGGGTGTGTGGGTGTGGAGTATGGGTGGGTGTGGCTCCAAGTGTTCTTTGCATGTCACATCCACCCACACCCACACCCACACATACCCACACACACCCACACCCACACCCACAGCCCACACCCACACTCACCCCACCCACACCCACATACCTACATCCACATCCACACCACACACCCACACTCACACACACCCACATCCCACACCCACACTCTGTTTAATATTTTCATATGGAAAACTTCATTAATTGAGATGTCAAATTGAA